AAACAGCAAATTAACAGGTTGATAACGGAAAGATAAAAACATGGGTATAGGTCTTTTTTCAAGGGAAAAAAAAATTCAGGATTGTTATTCGGTTGTACTTTAAAAGGTTAAACAAGACTGTGCGGCTTTAATGATATTTGACGATACAGTTAAAATAGTTTTTTGTTTTTTTGTGGAAATTCATGCAAAGGTTTAAATCTCAATGAATAGGCGAATATGAGATGTTTTTTTTATAATTAATTAGAAGAAATCTTAAGTGGATATAAACTGCTAACGGATCAAGTTTTTTTGAGGGAGGGATGGGGAAGACAATATCGGATTTGAGTGTTTGTTTTTGTTTTTTTTTTTTTTTTCTGTTTCCTTCTTTGTTTGCTTGTTTGTTTGGATTCTGAAACTTTTTATTTTTTTAAAATTTGATGATGTGATATATATTACCTTCAAAGGTGGAAAGCCTGGGTTCACATATATTTCATGTACTTCTTCATCACCATCTTGTTGGAACATTATCTTACAAGAAAAGCCATTTACTTCTCGTCCTTTTTTCGGTTTTGCTATAATGTCTATTGCATCAACAGCTCTTTTTTTACGGCCATAGGGTTTATTGCAATGGTAGATCTACGACAAGTCACAAATTGAATTTTTTTGTACATTAGTTCAGGGTAGACCATTCTAATTAAAATCCAAGGTCAAAGTGTATTTTTTTTATGAAAAAGTAAATTTTGGTGCGATAAATAGTTCAGAATTTAGTTTTTGCATTTTTTTGCCTCTCAAATCATTGTTGATATACATAAAAATAATTATTTTTAAAAAATAGAATAAAAGCAAGTCTCAGTGCTGATTACTGAAAGTCAAAATGTTTTTAGTCACTTATCATTTTTTTAACAATATCGATTTGCTGACCTGCTCTGGATTTGTCTTGTCTAGTTTCCAGCCTTCCTCAATATTAGTAACTTTCACGGTCAGCCATTTGTTGTCGTTGGACAATTTGAAGGGTTTCTCCCTCGATCGCTTTGATTCGCAAAACCGCTGTTCGTCTTTCATCTCCACTTGTTTTTTTAGTTAAAATATACGCAGATCAGCGAGTTAGCACAAACCACAGGAGACAAATTTTTTTTTTTTTATCAATTTATGGATTCTTTCTTTACTAAGAAAACAAAATCAGTTTAGATTTTTTTAGATAATTACCTACCCTTCTAGAATCATCATTATCATTGTACACGTAGAATCGCAAATATATGAGATCACTTGCACAATCCGGTTTGCTCGAAAAAACGGTGGCACGTTTCTTCTTTGGTCCTCCATAGGCAAATATGCTCCATAAAGAAAAGTTCATGGTTTTTATATGAATGGAGTCTGGTTTGACCATAAACCATGCCTTCGATTGGTCTGTTTTCTCTGATTCGCTTTTTTTTTTCTCCCAATTGATAGAACCTTAAGGAAAAAATTTACAATGAAAATGTATGAAGTGAGAGGCACTTTTGCTATTTGTACGCTCAAGGGGTTTGTGTGGTTTGCAGGAAGAGAGGGGGAGTGGGGTAGAGACGATAGAAATGCGGGGGCAGTCTTCGGTAAGCACTAATATAGGGGATTTTTTTAATGACCCTCGAGTAGAAGCACATAAATTGGCAATAGGTTTATTTTTCTTGTTACCTGGGTCTGTTCTGTAGACAGAAATCCCCCTTTCCTTGACCTCCTTCAGGTAGAGGCAATGCGGAACAATGATTTCGACAGGCTTTAAAAATTTTATGTCATGAGGTCCACATTCAATTACGGGGGATATGAGTGTCTTTTCATCTGGGATATCGTGTAAGCCAAAGTTTTTTTTTTCTTCAAGGATCACACTGAAAAAGATTCGCTTGCGGTCTCCATCGGGTAATTTTTTTTTACTGATAATTATCTGCACGTCCGAGTTAGGAGCCGCATTCAACACTCCACCAGGACTGTCGAAAAATCCCTCAAACTGTGCGGTGTATTTTACATCTAGTGCAGCTGAGTTGTTGAATATAATTTCCTTGTCGTTCAAGTTGTTGTGACCAGCTCTATCTTTCTCAAATTTTTTTGAATGGAGAGCTATGGAATCCTATGGAAAGAAAATGAGCAACGGAAATGTTTTTTTTTTCTTTTGGCATTGTGTGACGGAAATAACCTACCCCGAAAGTAACAGAAGAGTCTTTTTTTTGACNGAAATTTAACTAGCTCCCTTTCATTTAACAAATCTTACGCGACCAGATAAAACAAGCGCGCGCGTAAAAATAGTCTTTGCATTTGCTCACGTCAGCAGCGTACACCCATGGGCAAATGGGGGACGCTAAATTGACCAATCAGAGCGCGCGCTTTACTTTAGTTGTGTTATAATTTCCCTTTTCCTCCGCTGCTCATTCCTTCATTTTTAAGTTTTTCATTGGTAATTAATTTCCTAAGGTTACCCACGCACACCATTTTGTTTTGTGTCTGCACTGATGACTTCACGATCGATTTATAAAATATTTAAAAAGATTCTTCAACGGTATCTGCCATTAATATAATTACAGCCTTACCTGGTGGGTCCACGAAGCTTTTTCTTATAAATGAAAATGAATATAGCTGAGATTGAAATGAGAACTACAGCTAAAACTCCACAAGCCGATTGATAAGGAAGAGTTCTGCCCTCAGTATTTGATTTCGTTCCATCTTCGCACACTGGAATGAAAATATATGACCAAGTAAGTAATTCGTCGCGATAAGCATTGAAAAACAAAGTTATTGGAGCAATTTTCAATCGAGTTTCGTGTGTTGTGGATACGAAGCCGTGGATCTTAGGGACCGAGATACAAAACATAGCGTTCGTTGGGTTTTAGCTCAGATTAAGCCCTTCTTTTACTCATCAGGAAACCCTTTAATATTTGAATATTACAGTTTGTGTAAAAAAGAATTTTAGAGCCTCTTTTTTTCTCAAACGGGCACTGGTGGAGCCGATCCTACTTGATACTAAACCACTACACTTACCCTTAGAACTTGACGACTCTTCATCTTTCCTTTTCTCTTTTTAAAAGAAAAAGAAAAGAAAAGAAATGGACAAAATGTGTAAACAGAACATTTGAAAAATGTTTTTTCAGCAACAACAAAAAAAAAGCAAGGGCAAAAAGCAAAATTAAAACAAGAAACAAAACAAACAATCAAAACAACAACTACAACAAACAGACAAAACGAAGACGCACAAAAAAAACAATAGGAAACGAACAAACCAAAAACAAAAAATAACAAAACAAAAACAGCAAATTAACAGGTTGATAACGGAAAGATAAAAACATGGGTCGTTTTCTCACTGCAAAAAGGGAAGGCCGTTTATTGGTATTTGTAATTGTGGTTTGCTAGTACATGTCACCAAAAAGCATTAGAGCATAATAAAAGTAAAGCGACCGCTTTGATTGGTCAACCCCGTGTCCACCATTTGCCCAGGGATGTACGTTGCTGACGTGAGCAAATGCAAAGACTAGCTTACAAGGGCTTGTTTCTCCTGCTCACATAGGATTTGTTCAATACGAAGGGACCACGACGGCGGTGAATGGGAAAATTAACAATAACTAAGAAAATAAAAACTTGAGAAATCTGCGAAAATTATTTCTGATAAGTTGATAAACCTTGATCCAGTTCTATAAAAAA